ATCAGTGTTACCTTTTTGCTTCATTTCTTCTTATGGCTGAATCTTTTTAACCTTTATCTGCAAACTGTGTGCATGTATTTAAAAACAACCTATTCTCTTTTCCCTGCACCCACCTTGTGGTCTGAAGGCTGTCAAAAATATGGTGGCCATGGTAAGTGACCATTTCACCTACCTGAACTGCATTTCACTCTGCTCTGCTTCTCTACTCTCTATTTAACTTCCTAAAAATAACAAAAAAAGAATCAGGAAAACAACACCCTTTGTAAAGAGGTTTTATGATAGTTTTTATAATATACTTTCTGATGCTGTTATTTACATGGCTGTAGGAAGCTAACCTATCATTTGCTTTTGCACTTTTTCATTCCTTTGATTGCTGAAGGATTTCCAGCCTTGGATTATTACAGCTCAAAAGAAAGTTTCAGGATAGTTGCAGGGATTAAACTATGATGCAAAGCTACTATGGCACAGCTAAGGCTCTCTTTCACTTTCCACACAGTTACGTCAAGCTGGCAAAGTTTTCCCTGTTGTTAGACATGTAATCCCTAGTCCATGTGAACATTTCCACAAAGGTCCTATTCTTATCGTTTTAATTCTCTGCAGCTACTTTTGTCCCCATTGTCTAGTTTACTAATACAAAGGATTTAAAACATATTTAAAAAGATTTTCTGTAGTTCATTGAAAGGTTTGTATTTTATATTTTCTAGAAATTTCACTACATATTCCTAAATTGGTAATGAAATTATTATCAGCAGCACATAGCTAATGAACTTGATGCCTATGTTATTTAAGCTACTACATAAATCATATTTAATAATTTAACAAAATAAGACTTTTAATTTCACAGTCCTTTCTTCTTTGTCTACCAGCTTCACCAGGTGCTTGTCCAACTCCAAACAGGAGAGAAGGAGCAGGACTTCTCCCTCCTGCCCATTCAGGTATCCATTAGTGTGCAACTGTGGAGACTGCCTGGATGCCATGAATTTCTGGCTGCTCTTGGTAAGTTAAATCTTAACAAAATAAGACTGCTTCTTTGTGTCTCCTGTACATCTTCAACAACTTTGCATGAACATCGTAGAATAATTTAATTTAACCAAAATCAACATACACTCTAAAACAAAACAGCATTATTTTTTTCAGTTATTCAAGGTCATATATTATCCAAAATGTTTCTTAAAAATAATTATATTATATAAAACAAACAAAAAGGGCATTTTAACACAGAAATGTCGACCTACTGAAAAGTAACCCCATGTACTGTGGTGTATGTTCTCAATACTTGATCGAGGGTCCTTTTGTGTGAATTAAAAAACGAATGTGACAGAGATCAGTTTGTGGTTCTGCTTAGGCGTTCAGGAAGTCCAGGTCTCTTAAGTAGTGATCTTCAGCTTGACTGTATTGTTTTCTCTGGTGTCTTTTATCTTCCTCTTGACAATTTATCAATGATTCACTGTAGGGTTCAGGCACGTTTGCATTGATTAAAGTAGCTACTGGTGCTTTCACCAGTGTGGGCGGGTGAAAAATAATTTTGACATCAGAACCTCTATAAAACTGTGTTAGCAGAGGAAAAATGAAGTGTGAAGTTCCTGACAGACAGCTGGTCTGACTTTGGGGTTGGTAAAACACAGTGAAATGTCAGCATAACACGGGTCCCTGAGTCATGTCACCTGTGAAAGCATCACACTGGATCTCAAGTTGCTTTTAGGTAAGATGTTTCTGACACTGGTTCAGGATTTGCTTAACACATTGTGACAGATGTAGCCCTTGTCCTGGAAACATTGGTAGTGGCTTCTGAAGCACTGACACCAGCCGCAATCCATACCTCGTGAATCTACCCCTGTTATCATTGATGGTTATTGATCTTTTTTCTACAATACTTTTCCCTTCCATTTATCTGTCCATAAGTATGCTTGCATGCACCACTATATGGAGAGTGAGCTTCTTCAGCAATGACCTGGTGAAGGGGGGGGTCAGTGATTGTCTGCTGTCAAGTCAGTGGTCTTCAATATTGCTGGAATCATAGCAAAATGTTGCTGTATAAAAAAAAAAAAAAACTTTTTATTTGTCTGATGTAATACTAAACTGGGAAACTATATTTTGAGTTTTCATGAATCATATTTCATAATCATCTAAATTAACAGAAATAATAAAAACTTGATTTATATCACTATGTGTATAATATATCTAAATCCAAATGAGAGATATCTATTCATACATGCATAGATTTCATTTTAACATTACATTTTGTTGTTGTTTTCTTTGTGCAGGATTTGATTTATGTGAGGTAGGACAGGAAGAAGTAGTGCTAAAGACGGGCAAACTGGCTAACCGGCGCACCTTGCACTTTGCTCTTCAGTCTCTGCTGGCACTGTTTGGTAAATTGTTTTATTCTTTTAATCTGTTTTGTAATTCCAGGGTCTAAATTTGTTTTTGGACCGCTACAATTTTTATTCCTTTCATTTTTTAATAGGTTTTCACATGCATATGTTTATTTGCTTTGTTTACAGACTCCACAGAACTGCCCAAGCGCCTGAGCCTGGACAGCTCATCCTCCCTTGAGTCTTTGGCTTCGGCTCAGTCTGTCTCTAACCCACTGCCAGTGGGATACTCCAGCCTTCCTTTCTCTCCCCCATGCCTGGACAATCAAGCATCAGATGCCATCTCTGTCTACAGCCTCAGCTCTGTAACCTCCTCAATGAGTTTTGCCTCCAAGACAGACTGTGACTTCCTTACTCATCGACAACGAGGGGGCGCCACTGCACACTACACTGTTCACAAACACCCACATGTGCCACGCAGTCGCTCATCCCCACAAGGAGCTGCTGCTGCAGGTGCAGGAACACGAGGTGACGAAGAGGAGTATGAAGGCTTTTCCATTATCAGCAGTGAGCCACTGGGCAGCCACTGTGACTCTCTGCCTCTACCACCAGGTCACAGTCAGCGACATCATCGGGGAGGCAGGGGGGTTGGTGGCTCCACAGGAGCAGGAAGAGGCTATACGGTCTCTGTATCATCACGAGGCAGTGTCAGCACCCCGACGTCTCCTGTCAAAACATCCCTTGTGCCCAGTCCAAACTCGCCATTCCAGAAGGTGGGTAAGGTGAGCAGCTCAGACACGGGTGAATCTGACCAGTCCAGTACTGAGACAGACAGCACTGTCAAGTCGCAGGAAGAAAAGCCCGTTCATCTGGACCCTCAAGAGCTGGCCCAGAAGATTCTAGAGGAAACTCACAGTCACTTACGAGCTGTGAGCAGTCTTCAGCGGGCCGGAGCGGAGGGCGGGACTGGACCTGCTGCGGCCTCAGCTCGGAGCGGTACATTCCGCTCTTCCGAAACCAGTGCATTCAGTCGTCCTAACAGCGCCAGTGGTCGAGCACAGTCTTCCCCCAAGCCCAAGCCTCCCTCCCGTTCTTCTTCCCTGCAGAAGGTAAGCTCTGGTTACAACAGCCCTGCAGTCTCAGAGTCTTCCCAAAAAGATGGTAGCCATCCTTCCCCCACTCTGGACAGCCATGCACAGTTCAAACTGAAGTACCCAAGCTCTCCATACAGTGGCCACATTTCCCGCTCTCCCAGCAACGTGTCTCCCAGCTCTGGACACCAGTCACCAGCTGGTAGCGCTCCGTCTCCTGCTTTGTCCTACTCTTCTACAGGCTCTGCCTGTTCTACATCAGCAGATGCCCCAGATCTGGACCGGCTAAGAAGAGGGGTCATTGATGAAAAAGTCCAAGCTATCCATAACCTGAAGACTTTTTGGACTAATGCCGCAGCTCAACAGCAACACCTAGGTCCTGTCAAAGCCATCCATAGCACATCCGGACCTATTGCTTCAGCCAGTAGAGATGTACTGAGTCTTCTGAACCTCTCCCCACGCCACTGCTCCCCTCATGACACCCAAGACAGCCTGGAGCTGCGGGAGCTGGGACTGCAGTCACTGGATAGCAGTACCAAGAATTCTTCCAATGGACACCACTGTTCCAACCCCAGAAAAGTTTCCCCGTCGCCTACGATTTCCACAAGCAGCAGCCCTGGTGCTCGTTCTATCCGACTGCCTGCTGGCAACGGATACAAATTCCTCTCCCCAGGAAGATTTTTCCCTTCTTCTAAATGCTGAAACGGTGAAAGTGGTTCTGTAATTTACTATCCTGTGAGGCAAAGGATCAGGGCACCTCTTCAGGACCGCCATTGGCCCATCAAGCCTAACTCAGTCTGAGGGATTTCTTTGACTTGTGTGTTCCTGAAGAAACAGATGAATGAATGGCTTGGAGACTGTCTTGTCTTTGTGCCCATAACACTGTAAATGGCAATGAGAAATACTCAACGACCTGATACTGTGTTTGTGTGTAACTGTGTCAGGTAGCGCTAAATGCAATTTGATTTTTTTTTTCCCAAAAAATGTTGCTGTTTGTGTGGTCAAAAGATGCAACAAACCTTATTTCCCTCCATTCTACTTTTTTGTTTTTAAATTTAATTATTATTGTTATTATTGTTTGCTATTGTTGTTAATATTAAAAAATATTATTATTATTATGTTTTGTAAATTTATTTGTGTTTTACAATCAGTATTAACTGTTTTTATAATTAAAAGTGAACAAATCTGTACCTTGTAAAGATGGATAGAGTGAAAAAAAATCAATTTAATATTTTTTATTGAAATCTAGAGGGCATTTTGCCTGATTTCTTTGTGATTTGAGTGTCTGCTCTGAAGCATGGATTCTCTTGCTATTCAGTGTTAAGTACCATGTATGACTTTTTACCCCCATGATTTTTTTGAGATTGAACATGGCAGTTTCACAGCAACAATCTGTCATTTATCAGTAAACTGTTTCAATAAAAACATCATGTTTACTTTCTTGTCTTCCTAACTTGGCAAAGGTTTATCAACTGCAGAGACAAATAGATAAAAAGCTCTGATTTTTTTTTTTTTTTTTTTTTTTGTCCCTATACTAACATTTCTGTTTGCTTTTGATCACATTAATGTACAAGATAACTTGAGCAAATTCCAAATGCAGTTTGGAATTCTTTGAATAATTATTTCATTTGTTGAAATCAAAAATTTATTATAACTAGTCTGGTTGTGAAAACAAAAACCTAATAACTGGTTAGGCCATCATGACAGTGACAACAACTTTCAAGCAATTGAAATCACTGGCAATAAGTTTTTGACATTACTATAGAGGAATTGTGTCCCACTTTTTGCAAAATTAAGCCATATTAGAGTGTTTTTCACTATGAGGTGCCCATTTATTTCACACCATTACAGTTGGTCTAAAGTCTGGTCCACTACAAAACCTGTATTGTTTTTAGACATTCACAGACAGACCTGTCGGGGTGCATTGGGTCATTTTTCCTGTTGTATAACCAAAGTGTGCTTCAGTTCGAAGTTGTGAACTGATAGTCAAATATTTTCTGTTAAGATTTTTTAATAGAAAAGGGGATCCAGAATTTAAAGGATGTCTTCCAGGTTCTGACGCAGCAAAGCAGCCCCGGACTGTCCCACTCCAACCATAATTGGGTAGGATCTCTCTGTCTCAAATGCCATTCCCTCAACTCCTCTCTCTCTCTTACCCGCGGATGTTTTGGGGACCCATTCCTTCTTAGGTGTAACTTTGTTTCTCAACTTTTCTTGAAAAGTTTTAGATAAAGACGTTATTTTTATTGCTTTTTGAGACACTTCAGCCTGCTGAAGTGTCTAGGTCCTGCTGTCAAGCAGATTGTATTTAAGGGATTTCTGAACTCCAAAAGTGTGCCTAGTAAAACAACTGAGTTTTGAACTACTTCATAAAGTTATTTCACGGTTTTTCTGGGGCAATTAATCTGTCACATTTGATTTGATTGCTTTTTTTGTCATTAAATAAAATAGTTTGAAGTTGCATTGTGTAATAGTTGTTTCAGGCTAACATTAAGCTATTGGAATGACTCTGAGTTTAATACTGAAAATGTATCAATAATACTTGAAAGCATGGTTGGTGACAAACAAATATAAAGTTCGGCAGGTCAGAAATTGGCCCAACAATAATCATGTAAGCATCAAGATTACTTCTTGGGTGAGGTTTTTACAAAAAACAATATTGTTTCATGAGAATAGTGTACAATGTTGACATAATTTTGGAAAGGCAAGATTATGTGTGTGACACATTGCAGAAACGAGGCAAGTCAAAGTGCTTTATCCGATAAAAGCATAAAACAACAACAATAAAGAAGATTAAAAAATAGGACACAGAAGGGGGCAGAAAAGGAAAACTTGGAATAAAGAATGAAATGAATAATATTTCAGTTATTAAGGAAAGACTCCTCTGAATAACTGGTTGAGTCAAATACATTTTTTAGAAAAGGATGCAATTATTGGGTCTAAAAGACATGCTTTCTGTGATTGAGATAAAACTTGTTTCCTTATTAACCAACAATGGTGTAATAATATTTCTGTGTTGGCATTGAGATAAATCATATGTAATGTTTTCTGTTAGATGGATCGACACGTACATGGATTTACGGACAGATTAGTTGCTTTCCACAACTTGAACAAAATGTGCCAGATAAAGTATAGTTCAAAGCTTAGGTTATCCTCTGTAATAGGAGATTACTTTTGTCGGATGAGATGTAAGAGAGTTTGATTGGTTAATTTTAATTAGTAGGTGTGTCCATCCTCTTTCTACCAATCATAACAGCTTTGGGCGGGACAGGACGCTGCACTAAGAGCCAATGACGTCAGCGGCACCCTGCAGTCGCTGGGCAGTACCAGCAGAACCGACAGAAGCAAGTTACTATGGTTCTCACCAAGGAATAGTGAGTTTTTTCCCCCTCCTTTCTATCTCAACTATGACTTTTGCGCTTTATTAAGCCAATATTTAGAGGTATAGAAAGCATTTAGGTATTCGGGCGAGTTTTGAATGCGCCTCTGTCCTAGCTGAAAACTTTTCATCATATATCGGTAAGGCACACGAGGGGGAGAGTGGGATTGTTCAAGAGCTGTTCTGGCCTACCGGCTTTGACAGCGGCGTGCTATTGTTTGACAGCTGTCGCTTCTTTTAACTTCTAGTGAATCTGCGATGTCCTAAAGACGCACTCTGGGTTTCGTCGGCATTGTTGGCACGCACATCCGCGCTATCGGTCTTCAAGGCACTGAAACTGGTATGGTTTGCTAACGCTAAGTTAGCTAACCGAAAGCGTCACCTGGATGGGGAAGTTGCCCTGTTTATTTTAACACAGGCAGCTCATTTGAACCCAAAACGAGACAAAAGAGTTGATAGAAATTGAGCAAAAGTCAAATCAACGTTTTTAACTCGTACTTATCCTTACTAAGCATCTAAACGATATCACCGCTTATCTGAGTGATTTAACGTTTGTGTTAAATACATCGTTAGCATTGCATTGGAAATGACAACAGCATTCGTGGTAGTAAATTGTAAACAATCACGTTATTCGTCTGTTTTGCTTTTGACTGTGTATGTAATTCCGCCTCAGAGAGATGAACAATTAGTCTTAAAAAAGAGAAGTTTAATATAAAACAAATAAAGATGTTTGTAATTTAGAGAAGACTGTGGTCTTAGATTTGTATTTTGAAGCACAGGTTCAACGTAGGCACTCCTGTGACTTCTACACAATAGTGGGCATCCTCAAAGCTAAGAATTTTCAAAATGTTCTGATTTTTCTTTCTTTGTGAACTACAACATTTTAATCTGCCTAGAGCAAATGGTGAGCTCTTGAACTTAACGTGCTTCATAAAGTCTTAATAAATCATAATGGTTCAAGATATCACATTAGTTGTTGCTTTGAAATGTTAGATATATAAATGTGACCTTCATCAGCTTGTAAATGTAAAGCTGCCACTCCTGACTGATGGTTGAAGACAGATGGCTGTAAATAAAAACACAGTAATTAATCAATTATAAACTCTGGACTCAACCTTGTGCCTGATCTGAACAATATATTTTTTTGAATACTTGTACTCAGACAAATCTCCCTGTAGGCACTTTCAAGGACAAATTGAAAGTTTGTTATGAAATTTGTCAAAATTCCATTCAAATTAATCCTGCTTATTCCACTCAAATATGTCACTCTCTTTTCCAATTACATGCATTAAAATTCAGTTCTATGATAAGACACTATTCTCGAAGTTAATCATATACTGTCTGTTGGTCTGGAAAATTATCTAAGAAAACTCATCTAATTGCATTGGGGCATTGATTTATTTCTTTTCCACCTGCAATCCCTCAGCATGAGCAAGCAAGTGGCAACTATTGGAAAGGAAAAACTCAGGAGGAGGCTCAGTATAAGTTGCCATCTGACTAACTGAACGTTGAGAGGACATCATTAAGACCAAATGAAACCAATTATTTTCAGTGTTTATTATATTTAAATATGTATATATATTATTGCAACCAGAACTAGATGTTATTCTCATTTGCTGCATTTTTCAATGTACCAGCGATTATGAAAAAGTAATCAAATTTGAACTTGAGCACTGATAAAAATCCCCATGAACGCTTCCTGCTTTCTCCCATTTCATTTATTAAAGAAAATAGAAACTAATGAAATGAAAAAAGTAGATCTTAAAAAAATGACTGTACTTTCTTTTTAGCGTGAACGATCAAACATGGACGCAGGCATCTACATATCAGCATTAAATAAAGTCATGAAATGTCCTCCTGTCAGCACTCTGAACTAATCTGCAACAGTCATTGGAAAACCCATGTTGGGCAACCACTCAAGAAGAGATTGGTGACTTAATAAACACTTCTCAGACCCAGAGTTCCTCATGATATGCTATTGTTTCAATGGTTATCCAAGACAGAAATTGTTTTTGTGGTTTATTTCTTAATTTATTAATTTTTTGTTTTATAAACAAAAAAATATTATATGTTTTTCAAGTAAGCACCCTAAAAGTGGATAGCTGTAGATGGACAAGGATGAAAGAATTTCATTTATGGTTTTTGAAAAGGTATTTTCCTTTACCATATCTGCATTTGTGCAATAGGTTTTTGTTTAAAGATTGTTGCATTTGAAAATGGACTGTCTTATTATTCTCTACAAACTCGTCAAATATTTGGATTAGTTTTGTAAAATCATGCAAGTCTAATTAATAACAGTGTTGTATTCAGTATGGATCTCTGCACAATGTTGGTTGAATTCCATCAGCCTTTTAATGGATGAAGAATGAAAAAAAGACCTGCTCTAATCCTCTAGATCAATTACTTCATTTGCTTTGTGAAAATATTTGCATCTGTGGTTTTCTGCTGCAGGATTCTTTCACAATGCACCATCCTTCTACAACTCCTTCCCGCAAACAAACGTACTTTAGTACAGGTCAAGGCATGTTTTAACTATAAAATTCACCCTGAAGTTGTTTGCAACCTTGATGGTGTCAAAACTCATCATTATTCTTTGCAAGGCCGGGCCACAGAGTTCTCTCCTGTCTTTTAGTTGCTTGCCTTTGGGTGTCATCTCAGTTCAGCCTCACACTCTCAGTTCAGGACGAAGCACAAATTTCTCATTGTTTGTCTATGCTGAACAGCTTTAAACAGACTGAATGAACGTTGGGAAAGAATAAAGCTCCACTTTAGGTTTACGCTGAGAGAGAACTTCCCCTTCCTTGTGTTGTTTTTTTTTTCTCTCCACTTGGTTAGTTGTTGGGGAGGAGGAACTTCTTGTTCTCCAGTTTCTGTGATGTAATGATACATTGCATATTGCAAACTCTATTTAAATTTGAACAAAATATGACTTGATATAAGTTGAGAAATAATTTATTTTTCTGTAATTTAAATGTTTAGGTATTTAAAATTTATTTCTGATATAAAAATGAATATAATTTTTTGCTATTTATCTTGGAAAAACTTCAAATTAAGCTGTCCTCTGTGTGTTTTTTTGTTTGTTAAAGTACTTGACTCTTCTACTTAATGCCAGTGAAGAGTGTCTGTTCTTGCTGTAGTCAGCAGAGTGCAGACCTGACAAGGACTGGCTCACCTTTTATTTATTTTTTCTTGCCCTTTTTTTTTCTCCCTCTTAAGAAAGTGTGACCTTGATGATCAATTTGATTATTTTTGTTTATTTTTCATACTTCATAAAGTACTGCGTGGTGCGCTTGCATTGATTGAAAGCCACAATCACTGCTCCAGTCGACTCGTATGACCCACACTTTGACAAAGCTTGCTACGCCACTGTACGGGCCATCAAAACTTTTCTACTCTACTGATGTAATGACCTAGAATTATGTCTAAAGCAGAAGTACAGAATACTGAACAGAAATACTTTGTCAGTCTCATCCTATTTTACATTTATTTTCTTCTCATTTGCAGCCGGGTGGTCTTGCCCTGTAGCGTTGAGGAGGTGAGTCACCTTTTAATACACTACTCATTAGGAAACAGCCTGGTGTTTTTTTTTTCTTTTTTATGATATTTATAGCAATTAACAGGTACTGCAGGAAATGTAAAATGGAACAAAAATTAAAGATTGTAGTACAGCTTCCAGCGGTTTGTCAAACTTGTGTGTTATTCCATACTAAAAAGAATAAACTCTATACACTGTAAACGGTAGACATTATGCAGTAACATACAACTTGGGAAAAATAGTACTGTTTTGATCAGAAATTTCCTTGTGGTAAAATATTTGTTTTTCAGTATCAAGTCGGTCAGCTCTTTTCTGTGGCCGAAGCAAGTAAAAACGAAACCGGTGGTGGTGAAGGTATAGAAGTACTCAAGAATGAACCCTATGAGAAAGATGGAGAGAGAGGACAATATACACACAAAATTTACCATCTAAACAGGTATGTGCCTTTATGTTTTTGAACTGATTGCTTGGCCTCCATAATCTCTGTGGTGTAATAGAGCAGTGCTACCAGGTGGTGGCAGTGTTGCTTCATTTGTGAAGCTGTTCCTGCTGTCTTTGCTGTAGACCCACGTGAAACCTGAATCGGTCTTTTCCTCTCCTCTTCCCTGTTCCTGTGCTCCCCCATGCTGCAGTAAAGTCCCAGGTTTTGTCAGGCTCATAGCTCCTGAAGGCTCCTTGGTATTCCATGAAAAAGCTTGGAATGCCTACCCCTACTGCAGAACCAGTGAGTTCCCTTCTGTACTTCACTTCAGTTTGTGTTGTCCAAAAACTCTCCTCACTCCAATTTATTGCAGTTTTTATCATATCAATATTAACATGTTGACATGTAAATAAATACTTTTCCCTTTCTTCCTACCCCCCCTCTCATGAATAATCTTGATGCAGTTGTGACGGTATGTATTTTCAAATAAACATTTTTAAGTAATCCAAGCTTCGTTAAGATACTTCAGTGTAATGTATATGTTTCTTAATGTACTTTTTCTTTTTTTTTTTCTTCTTTCCAGAATGAATATATGAAAGACAGTTTCTTCATTAAGATTGAGACGTGGCACAAACCGGACATGGGAACACAAGAAAATGTTAGTTCTACCAAGTTTTTTTAAATTAATACATTTATGTATCATTTCAGAACTTCTTACTGAGAAAATGCTAATTATGACTGAGAACGCTGAGATTTCTTTTTCCATTTTATTTGTTTAACAGGTGCATAAACTCGAACCCTCAATATGGCAGAATGTTGCTGTTGTGCCCATTGACATCGCAGACAGAAGTCAAGTGTCTGCTGCTGTAAGTAGAAAAAAAATTGGGTATAAATCTGATGCATGGTTTATTGTGATTGGGTGCCTCCATGTGGACAAATGTGGTTATTGCACTTTTATCAAAAATAATGACTATTACTGTAGTTACATAATGGGCTGAGTTTAGATGTTGTGTTAAATGAAAAAGCAGCAGCTCTATGTTTGTTTAGAAATTGTAATTAATCATGTTTTTGAAACTTAGATTTGATTTGCGGAAGCCTCCTAAAATCTTAGTTGTTTTAGTTTCTTATTTGTTCATTTAATGTCTGATCACAAAAAAGTAGTCTGTGTGCTATAGAATAAGTCAATGGCTAATTGATTTGCATACAACTTAGTTCAGTGCAATTTTATTCAATCACAATTGAATTCAAATGAGTTGATCTCAATCACATGTTATTCTGGCTCAGAAGAGTCTGGCTGTCAGTGATGTTTCAGTTGGATTCAGTCCAAAATAGGTTAATTTCCAGTGGATTATTGTTTATGAAAAGGAAAGTTGTCTTGCTCAGAAAACTGACTTATTGCATCAAACCTTTGCATGCAAGCGGTTGCTGCAACACTAAGGAAGAGACTTTCTATTTAACAGGAAAAGACATTTGCAAACCCACAAGAACAGTTTGCACCCAAGTGCATCTTTATGGCAAGCGGCTCATGTTTAGGAAATTATATTTAAACGATTGAAAATTAAAGTGTACAGTTCATAAAAATATGAAACTGAGCTATTTAAGATGAATTTTTTTTTCGATACGGGGTAAGGAATTTTCACTTTTTTTTTTTTTTTTTTTTGGTCACAAATTTAACATTTTATTTGCACCAAACTTGAAATGTGAAGATGCAATAACGCCTAGATAATTTAGTAACTGTACTTTATTACATATTTGGAATTTTACCAACCATAGTGTGGACTGTTTTTACTTTCTGAACTGTAGAATCAAGCAGAACCTGTCTAGCAACATGAAGCATGCCAAAAACAGACGTCATGTAAATGCAGCTGTGGGGAACGACAACTGACTTATCAGTATTGCTACCAGATGCAAAGACGACTCATCCAGGAGGCCATAAAAAACCCCAGAACATCGTCTACATCTCTTGACTCAGTTGGTGCCAGTGCTCAGGATTCAGCAGGAAAATCAGGAGACACACTTTTCCCTCATAAAAATATCAAAGAATCTAGAGGATCTCCAAAACACTCTAATAGACAAAGGTAGAACTTTTTGGGAAGTGTGTAAAATTAACCTTTTTGAAAAGAATATAAGAATTTAAAATGGGGGGAAAATGGTTCTGGTGGTGAAGCTTCTGTGGTGCTTCAGAACCTGCATGACTTGGTGTGATTGAATAAACCATGAATTGTTCTTCTAGAGTTTCCTGCCATCAGCGTTTAACCTCAAGCTCGTTTGAGTTATGCAGGATAGCAGTCTTGACGTTCACCAGTAACTCCACTTTTGTGTTACTAAAGTTACTGGTGACAAAAAAAGGATTTGATGTGGCCTAATCGAAACAATGTGAAAATCACAGTGACCGCTTCCCGCTGGCTGCGGTTGCAAGCGTGGCACAGATATTTTGTTCAGGGGATGTTACTCATAGGAGGGGTTGTTTTGAACATCTGTGGGTTTTTTTGTCATTAGATGAAAACCACTTTTTGAATTTACTAAATTATCTGTATCTTTTTTCTGTTTGTTTTGATCTGAAACTTTCAAATATGACAGCAAAAATCTGAGCACTGTATGATTTCCAGAGCGCGTTCATCAGAAGTTTTACTGCTGCATTGTGGACTTTGACTGAAATATTTTGACATCAGGACTTTGCCGTCTCTGTTTCTCTTCCAATTAGTAAAACTTTTTAAAGCTGATTTTGTGTCTAAAAAACTGGAAGGATAATGGGACAAATCAGGTTAATCACCAGCACACTTAATGTAATAAGGAACTGTAGACCAAAAATCTTACTATTTCCTGATTTTCCTAAATAAACTATCATTCATTAAGAATTGATAAAGTTGATGACTTTTCAATAAATCCTGCTATTGTTTTTCAATTTTGAAGATTATTCTTCAAGAAACAAGCATCTTGCCCTGTGAAGTATCAATAATAGAAAAACTCAGTTTGTCCCATTATTACTTTAAACCCCCCCACTGTTCAGTGATGTAAACCAGAATGTTTTGACATTCCTGCTTGATGAAAGTGATTGATCTCTGATGGCAAACTATTCTTTCTGCTTGTTGATTATTAACAAACTCTCAAGATGATCCTACCACATTTTGGGGGGTTTGCAATGGAAATGGTACCAGCAACTTTTTGGGTTGCTTCGAGGTGTTATATAGTTTTGAAATACAAAGAGTAAATTTAGTTTTCTTTTTCTTTTTGCGCTTTCTGAAATCTTATTTGAAGATATTGCACATTATTGCTTATATCTGACATCCCATTGCCTCATTTCTGTGCTGCTATCTGCGTGTGCAATTAAATGTGTTGCTACTTGAGCAAGGAACATTGGTTGCTGTGTGTGTACATGTTTGTTTGCTGCGGGTAGTTAACGAGGCGGACGTGTTTGCCTTGCTGAAGGAGTGTGTTGTGTCTCAGGGCCCTATCAGCCCTCAGCCTCGGGCATGACTGCAGGGCCTGGGGCGTACCACCAGCACAGATGAGTTTGTTAGCGTAATTAAAGCTCACTGTGCAGTGTGCACCGGAACTCCAGACACACACACACACACACACGCACGACGAAACACACTCTTTTACTTAAGAAGTAGCTCCTCTCCGTGTGCCACGGCACATCGATTCACAGACCTCATTAGTACTGCTGTGTATTGTTATAGCGATGGAGCTCTGAGCATTAAAACAAGCAGATTATTGTGACTGCGTGTGTGCAGCACTGTCAGGCAGGCGCGTTTCTATTTCTCTCTCCGCTTGGCATCCTTCTGTTGGCCAGTAACCCTGAAAAAGAATCTTTTCGCTGCAGGCGTATCATGATTTATTTAAAATTACTGGGCCCTTGAGCTGTTGATAATCTGAAAGCCATTCCATTTTATGTACACTTTTTCTTGTATTTAATGACGTCAGTTTTGTCATGTTAGTTATGCTAATGTTTTAAATGTGCACTGTGTTTCTCTTTCTGTATTTTCTGATTTATCCCATTCTTTTCCATTGAGCCAGATTCAGCAGTGAGTGGGGCACATGTGGATCATTAGCAAAAGTTTTACTATGAGATCATTTTACCAAATTGAGGGTAAAGCTTGTCAGACACTCGATACTCCTTAGGAAACACTGGAAGTCACTCATTTTGATGTATACTAATGCTATATCTGAATGTGTTTTAAATTTTGGGTTTTATGTTTTTGTTTGTACAAGACAACAATAATTGCTTTTCTAATGTTTTTTTTTTAATTGTTGTGCACAACTGTCATTAACTTGTAATGCACAACATAAGGTTATATCTGTAAAAGTTGTCTTTTTTGAGGGGTGGTGGGTTTGCCATGCATTAATTATTGAAAAGTAAAAATCTTTCCATAGGACTACAAGCCTGATGAAGATCCAGCCATGTTCAAGTCTGTGAAAACTGGCAGAGGACCTCTGGGGCCAACCTGGAAGGTAATAATAATGTCGGATGCTGAAACTCAAATCACAGCACCTTGTGACAGCAGTCACACCTCTAGAACATCTTCACGTTTTAGGAAATCACAATACAAACCTTGACTGTTTTACCGGGGTTTGTGGAAAAGAGGAAAACAAAGTTGTCCATAATTGTGAAGGGGAAGGAAAATGATGCATAAATATTTTGCCAACAAAAATCAGAAAAATGCGCTGTCCGTTTGTATTGTAGAGTCAAGTCCTTTGACTCTTCTATCCTGAAATTGAAATCTAGTGCAAAAAAATTGCCTTGAGAAGTCGCCTAATCTGTGGTGTTCACCTGTTATGTTATTTAATCATCTGCTCTCCAGAGCCTTTAGATGTTGTTTATTTGCGTATAAACGGCTTCATGAAAATCAGTGAACACAGTAAAGAAACGGTGGCTAAAGTTGTGGGAAAATGTGAAATAAACATACGTTATGAAACAATTTTCCAAACTTGTCATGTCAGTATGGAAAGACTAACGTAAAGCTGTGCACCTGCCAAGCCATGACATTTGGCGAGGGTAGCATCATGCTGTGGGAATGCTTTTGTTCAGCAGAGGCAGAACGGAGAGTCACTGTGAGGACATGTGGAGCTAAATACAGGTCAATCCTGGTGGGTTTTACTTTCCAACATTACAGCAACCCTAAAGTATAAAGAGGAGTGGTTTCAATCAAAGCTTATTTTTGTTCACAGTCCAGACCTAAATCCAACTTGAAAAACTTGCTAGCTGAACTTGAGCTTTATATCTTGGCCTCAGAGTACCCGGAAGGCTTGCTGTAAAATTGGCTGCAGCTCTGTAAACTACAGTCTCTTTTCATTATTATACTAATTTTTCATCTAATTTTAAAGTTAATCCTACTGTCTTACTACTTTTTCCCCTGTGCTCTTTCCTGTCAACCATTGGAACATTTTTATAATTATTTAATTTACTAATTATATTTTATTCCTTAAATAAATGTTATTTTCACTTTCCATACACCCACAGCAAATAAAATAAGCTGTAAGCTTTACTTGGCAGAGTATACCAGAGATCAGTAACACATTTAGAGACTAATTCATGACTGGTTAGCTAGAACGAATAGCACTCAGTAGACGAAATGCAGTGAAAGTTAGATTGTATCCTTGAAACAGCTCTTATGTTGTGGATGATGTGTACCAACTCTGCATCGGGTCCATTCCCTCTATTTCATTGAAAATTTACTTTTAGGAGATATTAAATAGATGAGAAGCAAGAAAATGTTCATGCTCAACAGGAGACTTTTGTACATAAGGTTGGTTTGTTGGAACGAAACTGAACAGAAGGTGACATGCAGACAGAAAGCTCTTTTAAATGTTGCAACATGTTTGAATGTTTAGTTTCTTGTGAGCATTCGTAGCTCTTCAACCTTTGCTTATTTACTGTGTCGAGATTTTCTGTGGTAGACTAATGCAAAGTAGTGCCTAATTAGATAAGGACTTGGAAAAAAGAAACATGGTTTTTATTTATTTTATTTTATTTTTTTCAAATAGAATCTTAAGAGGCTTGTTGTCAGCCCCTTTGTTTCTGATGCCTCACTGATTTTTATGCCTCTACATAAAAATCAGTGAAACCAGTTGCCTTTTGATGTCACCTAAATGGTTTGTCAATGAACATTTAAGGGGAAAAGAACTGCTTCACGAAGAACAGTGAGCAGAGTTGTCAGGCCAGGAATAAGATTGTGGAGGAGTTTGTAGCAATTCTTGTGATTTCTTGCCTTTTAAACCTCACTGCTCTCCATTCTTCCCATCGCAATATGGAAAGAACAGCAGAAATGTAAACCTACCATGGCAGGACTTTCCACCGACAGTCAAAGGGCAGCGTTGCAGTTCAGTGTGAAAACAGTCTCCACAGTGTAACATGGCGGTGGCAGCATCATGCTGTAGGAATGCAATGCTGGAACAAAAACTATTGATGATACAAAAAATCGGAAACTGAGACAATAGATCACATTTCAGCAGGAAGATGTCCCTAAGGCATCCAAAGACTCACTAGTTCATCAGATGACAGCACAGTCATCTATTAGAAAACCTCTATTGAGAATTTCCTCTGCTCTGCATTTACTCTAATTGAGTTTAAGCTGAGTTTGTGGCTATAGTTTAAATGAGGGGTTCTAACATTGACTCAGGGGAGCTGGATGCAAAGGCAGTACTTCTCAAAATTATACATTTTTTAGAAATGTATAATTTTACTTCCTCTTCACAGTTAAACTCAACTCCATAGTGTCTACAATATATTTAAAAAAATTTCTAACATGATGAAATGTGAAGATTTATGGGGTGTGAATATTTTTGTAAGGTGCTGTACTTATATTTATAGATGGCAACGTTGAGGTCAGATTGGAGCAACAGCTTTTTATTATTTCCCTTTCTTCCACTATGAATTCAAATTAAGCACCAAAATACAAGAGGGACTGCTGCTCAGCAAAGCTCCAGACGTTTGACAGGCAGTTGTCGAGTCTGTATGAGGCCCCATAGGAGGCTTCAGGCTGTAGTGGCTGAGTGGCGAGACTTTATGATAATTATAATGAAAACAAAAACATCTGTCTAAAATAAAACTTGAACTTTTGGTGAAGACAGTAATTATATGGGCACTGCATTGAGTGTGTGTGTGTGTGTGTGCGTGTGTGTGTGTGTGTGTTAGGAGCAATATGTTAAAATAATCTTGCAGCAGCTTTTCTAATGGCACAGAAGCTAAATAAATTATCAGTGTTTTTATTAATAGATCGAGGTTGACGGCTTCAAATGGTATTTCCAAAGAATCGTTATTACCTTTTCTAGACGTACCTAATTGGATAACTTTGTAAATAATGATTTGCCAAAGTGTCAACCTTCCAGCAGTGCTGCCAGTAATGATTGAGAACGATTATACATTGAAGAAAATTTTAAGTTCTTTGCTGCTTGAAAATACATTATGTCTGTTAATTAATGGACATTTCAAGTCTTGGATAAATATCCTCATCGTTGGATTTGAATCCTTCTGTGGCACAAAGTCAATGTGAAGATGATGGAAGAGTCACTTCACGGACATTGATTCTAAATTTGAGAGTTCTGTTTGAAAGCTGCCACTTTTGATTAAATGGTATTTTATAGTCAGAAATCCCGTAGCCTCCTAGACTGGTTGCATTTGCTAATAGAGTGCACCCTTCTGGAGTAGAGCCCTTAAAGTTCACCATGGGGAAACTTTCCTGTGCTGCAAGAATTTTTACAGAACAAAGGCAGCCTAACTGCTTTAAAAAGTGAGAATAAAGAGGCGTAACTTTTATTTTTTATTTTATTTTTTATTTTTAATTGGATTACTCTTCTGTCCGCTGTGGACACGGAAAAAGTGTTTTATTAAAAACGTGGGGAGGGAGGGTGAGAGGAAAAAAAAGTAGTTATGTGACAACAGAAGCACAATTTTTGCCAGCTTCTCAGAGCAATAAAACTCTTGTCTATCTCTGCATGCACACATGCTTGCATATCGGCACCCCTTTGTATTTCTGAAAACTTGTGCTCCTTTGAGTGGGGCACGGAGAGGGAGAGAAGGAATGTCACCGTAAGTGTTTTGATGTAGAATCCGTTTCATGTGAAGTTCTCCTTTAGCGATGACAACTTTTCTAAACCCACTGCAAATTTAGAAATGTTTCTCATTTCGCCGCTCCTTCATGATCGCGGCATCAAACGGCAGCGGGATGGGGCGCGATTGAGGCGGGTCTGTGGCATTTTCCTCTTGGAACGCTGAGCCGGAATGAAGTGATTAATTAAACAGGTGTTCTCGGAGGGAGAGTGTGTGTTCTGGGGGGCTGGAGGGTAGGGGGGCGAGCAGGTCCTAGGTGTTAATAATGTAGCCGTCTTTGCACCGCGACGCCCTTATCGCTTTATGAGCACCGTTTTATCTGCCTTCTGTGGCCACAAAGGCACGCCTGTCGGGAGCGGTGTCGCTGTCAGGGCGGAAGCTGGGAAATGGTCCCTTCATCTGGAGTTTATCCACTTTGCTGTGCCTCCGCCCCCCCTCCCTCCTCCTCGTCTTCTCTTCTTCAGAGGGAGGCACATTGCAAGCAGCGATGGATGAATTTAGAAAGTGTGTTGTAGATTAGGTCACTTTTATCTCTGCTCAGCACAACTTCATATTGATAATTATTTCAGCAAGCTCCAAACCCAAAGCATTATGTATTAATGACTTTTAGCTTTGCACGCATCCAAGATGAGTCTGAAACTGTATTCTGTTATAAGTTTGTGTCAAATTTTCTGTTGTTTTATGTAATTTTGATACTTTATGAAAAGCAATGGTTCCAGTCTTTTTTCTTTCTTTTTTTTAAAACGCATCCTTTCCCAACAGCAAGAACTAGCGAGAACAACTGACTGCCCAAAGATGTGTGCCTACAAACTAGTCACAGTCAAGTTTAAGTGGTGGGGGCTTCAAACCAAAGTGGAGAACTTCATTCATGAGGTTAGTGTTTTGTTTTGTTTTGTTTTTACACACTTATCACACAGCAGGGCTGTAATACTGAGTTGCAGAGCTGTGACAGTTCTCTCCTGTTTGCTACTGTAATGTTTGACTTCCGTTTCTTCTTCCTTTTCATTTTTTTTAAATGGAAGTTTTCTCAAATTTGATTCATTTGTCAGGAAAACACAAAAGGATGTGTTCATTGTTGGCATGAATGTTTATTTACACTTGTAATTATCATTATTAGTATTACTAATTACTGATATTGCTTTGCATTCGTTCAGCAAGAGAAACGGATCTTCACGAACTTCCATCGCCAGCTCTTCTGTTGGATTGATAAGTGGGTGGACCTGAACATGGATGATATCCGGCGAATGGAGGTTGAGACTCAAAAGGAGCTCGAAGAGGTATGTGTGTGATCGGTGCCAGTAGCTGAGGAAAATTGTTCTTATGGATTACTTTTATGGCATCACAATAAAATAGAAGGATGTAAAGTAAATGTTATTGCAAAGGCATATCTGTGGTGCTACAGGCATGCAATGCCCCAACATTTACTATTTCTGGTGAAGATGTATAACAAGCTTTCAAATGATTTAATCTTTTAAACTGAATTTTTAATATCTATGTGAAAACAATCATTTATGCTCTATTCAAGTACAACTTAGAAACTTTATGAATTGTGTAGAAGTTTTTAAATTCAAGCTTGTATCACTGCAGGGTGATGATTTACCGCATTGATGCAGTAACTCATGTAAAAGCAGGCCAAAGCAAGAATTGAGTACATAGAAATTAACATAATTTTCAAGTGGCTCATATTTCTGTTGAATTTTTTTGTATTGCTCTCAGGCCTTCTGAATTCTGGATTTTTATTATCCGTAATTGTCAAAATTACAAAAAAGAATTGGAACATTTCACTCTGATGATTCTATATCATATCATATCAGAAAGTTTGACTTTCTGGAATGAGCAACTAAAAAGTATCGAACCTTTTTATAATATTGTATATTTTGAAGATCTACTTGTAGTATTTCCAATACTGCAGAAAACCTTTTTGAAGGCAAAGCTTTGAGTATCTAAAAAAGGCAAAACAATTTAGCGATTGACAATTAAGATTATTGAAGTACGACTTTCTAGTCCTGTAAAACATTAGATAACTTAGCAGAAATGTGAACTTTAACAAGTGCAAGTAAATATGGAAAGCTCTGCAGACAGGAAAAACTCCTTAGTGTACCCTTTAAAAGGTTATGTCAGACAACAGTTGCTTTGTGACAAACTACCATAACTAAAAAAGAACTTTATTTTAATAAAGTCTTCTCAGCATTCTAATTACATCTCATGGGGTTCTTAATTACTACCTCTTATGCTTTACTGTCCTTTATTTCCATCCAGATGCGTAACAAGGGTTCAGTAGGTACAAAGGGTTCAGGGGAGTAGCAGGCCAGGTTTAGCTCTGTGTGTTGCTGTGTAAGTTGTTTTGGGTGCAGGGAAGTCTCTTAATGGATTTTTCCACAGGGCTGGCTTCAGCAAACCATGGTGTACAAACTGTTGATGCACTGCAGCCTCTGTGACAGGAGCTAGTTGCTCTGGAACAGGCTGTCCTGGGTGTTGCACTGTGTTTCAAATCTTTTTTTTTTTCTTCTTCTTCTTCTTTTTAATGTCACTTTTAAAATCGCCTGCTTTTTATAAAATATTTTTTGTCATTTCAGATGAAACCCCCAGACAATCTTATGGTAACCTTGTTTTATTCTAGAGTCTTCTGCTATATGGAGCAGCAGGGTGCTATTTAGAATAGTCTAAATAGTGCACCAATACTGTCTTGGGTTCCTTTTGACATTTCTCAATTTTTTTTTTACCTTTTTTCTTCTTTTTTTTCCCAAAACCAGCAGACATGTTGTGTCAGAACCTACAACTGTGAGCATCCAAACAAGAGAGTACAGCTCAGACAAGAACAAAGGTTTTCTTTAAAATAATCTGCAACAGGTTGTAGCTCACCGTTTTTTCAACCTTTTCTGATGGTTTGCTCCCAAATATCACTTTGGGAGCTTTTGGCCTTACAAGGAGAACAAGTGAGGAATCTGGACTAGACTGGCCAAAGTGGGCCAATTTCAAACATTCCTGGCCTACTACCAACATGCTGCATTTTGTGCTTTGCCTTCGCACCGCGCCCCCCATCCCTTCAGAACATGTCGGCCAGTTCGCCATGTGTTTCCCATTTTCCACTGGAGCAAGTAAACAGGCGGGTGCCATCAAAGAGGGCTGTGGTGGGGAGGGCCTGTCCAGTCCTGAGCCTCTGAGCTACAGGGTTAGCAGGGTCGCAGTTGAACTGTACTGGATGATGTGCGACGCCAATTGCTGCGTCTTTAAAATTTCCCAAGAATATCGCTGTGACAGAGGCTGCATCCGAGAGACAATGCAGAAGAGTTGCTCTTCGTGTGGTGCAGTCGGTGCAGAGCAGGGCGGCTTGAGAGGGGGACGAGGTGTGATGCTTCAAGGTGGCTCCCTTTTCCCTCATTAACATACAAATAGAATTCTGCTGTTGAGAAGAAGTCCGGCCTGTGATTGAGAGACTCGGAGGAAGCCAGGGGAAAAAAGTTGGCGAAATGGGAGGGTAAATCCTCCTGCTATTTCATCAGATCTGTCTTTTCCCCTGTTTAGAGCCAATGTTAGTTTGAACCGTTTCATTTGAGCTTTTGGGCTATCAGATTCCAACACTAATTGACTTTCCAAAGCCATCAGCCTGGGGGTGGGAGCATTTGAAAGGGATGCTTTTATCTATCTTGAAGACAAACAGGAGGATTGATAAGTATTGTTGGCGGATAGTGTTAAGGAAAGCCAAGTTTCAGCTCACAGAAAGCAATTTGTTGCATTTTATTGGTTTTTGTAGAATGTACTAAAACCTCCATATGTATGTAATGAATTAAAAACAAGTCTACCTTGAAACTTTCATCAGTAAGCAGGGGCGTAGTTATAGATTATACCAATTAATTCTTCAATGCATATTGTGTCTGACGTTTTGTTTGATACTTATTATCAAAACAACCAAGTGATCTAGGTTTTTGATTAATTTAACTAGGGCTGAAATTATTATTTCAGTCGTAATTAATCAACTAATTTAGTAGTTGATTAATCATTAATTCTAGTATACAGATTTAAAAAAGGAGCTTTTTTATGTTATAAAAAATAACATAAATTTATTAAGTCCCTTTTCTGTGTTATTAAAAATTGGTTAGTAGAAAAAATAATCAACATTTCAGCTGTATTGATAGATCAAATGGAATAGACTGAGCTTTTCACATGTTAGAAGAATTTGTGATTGTAAAATGAAAACCTCTGTCGAATGTGTCAATTTATTTTTATCCAATTAGTTTATTGTATGAGTAATTAATAGAAAATTGATCACTAAAAAAACTGTCAGTAGCAGCCCTATAACGAGTAATTAACTTATTCTTGTTTGTTCTGTATTTGAACTGCTGATTCCCAGGTACAGCCGAACCAAGAGAAAATTCTTCCTTTCCCGTTGCTTCAATAGTTCAGAAAACTTCGTACACCTTGATTGCAAAAAGTGACCCAACACCACCTCATCAGGGTCTCCTGAGATTTCAGTTCCTCTCTGATTTCATGCATATCTAACCTCTTTTCTTGCGTCTTTCCTTTCCCCTACAGCTTCGCAAAAAGGGTGACGTACGAGGAACCAGTGCTGCAGACCAATGAAAAGCAACCGGATTAAAAATGGCCACCGTGTGTGACGCTGTCTGCAAAGAATGCTCCCTTTGTTTGCCACTTTTTACCTTAACTGATTTTGGCTGCGGAGGAAGGAGCACAGCTACCTGCAATCAATAGTGCAGATTCCCTGACTTGACCCCAATCATAGACGTTCTGTCCAATGAGAATTGATTTTTTTCTTTTCTTTTTTTTTTTTTTTTTCTTTTTAGAAACCAACATGGTCTTTCCTGATGAGACTCTGGTTAATTTTGATCATCATCATGTAAATGAGACTTTTAAAAAATGAAAGAAGGTATGTGTTGTAAAGAATAATACAAGTGCAAATTACTAATCTGGATCCATAGTAAAAGGACCAAATGTTTTGTTTTTTGTATTTTATGTACATTTTTCACATTCCTGCAGAAGCGATGTCATGTGTGACCCTGTGTTGTCTTACCTGAAAGCTCCCTGTTCGTCAAACTCATGTTTCTTCCTGCCACGGCCTCCATTAAGTGATTACTAACACCATTGGCACTCATGCCCATAATAACCCCCCAAATCCCCACTCCACCTTAACTGAAGCACTGCATCTTATTATCACTGACAATCATGCCTGTACAGATATTCATCGTCTCTCCTGTTCAGACTTGGTGGAAAAAACACACGCACTCATCAGAACCTGAAGGTGAACGTGTGAATTCACTCTTAAGATTGTGAGCAGGCACAGGTGTGGATGCCTTTGCACTGACTTATCTGTTACAAGCCAAAGCTGGGCAGATCCACACAGGCTCGTTCACCTAAAGGATGTTAGCAGCTTCCTGCAGCCCCCACCGCACCACACACACCTCCCCCTGTCCTCACTGTTCTGAAGACATTCATACACAACGCGGTGCAGCGTTCACCTCCTTAACAGACGTCCCCAGAGGGGAAAAAAGTGCACTGAAAAGCGGCCACAGATGGTGCTACACCCCTCCAGCCAAACTTTGCTGCGTTGAACCAGCCCACCTCCAAAGGCCAGCCTTTGAACCATTGTTTCTCTGTTTTTTTTTTTTAACCACACTTTCTTCTCCGGGTTCAGTCCGGTCGTGTTTACAGATTCACGGTTTCTACATTAGAGCCTAGTTGACACCAGCACCATGCAGCGCTCGCCTAAACCTTTTCTATATTTTACTATTTTACACCTCTCACAGCTCTGCCAGCTAGCGCTAGCTACCTCCCTCTTTTCTAACTGGCAGCTTTCCTGATGCCCAGGGATTACCATTAGCCATGAGCTGCTGCTGCTGCTTCCTGGGAGTAAATCTTAGCAGATAGAGCTTTTATGAGTGACAGTATTTGTGATTAATCTCTATTCTTGTTATTCAGACGGCAGTGCATGTTTGCGTGCCGTCGCAGCTAAGCAACTGCAGTGCCTTCAACATGCTAAAAGCAAAAAAAAAACAACCTCTGTACTTTGTTACACCAAATGCAGCAGATTTACACATCAATGTTGAACAGATTTACCATCTGATTAATGGTCATCATCCATCATGTTTTCTCGATATAACATGTGGAATAAGCCCACTTTTGTTGTTACATAAAATATACTTGGTTTACTCATCTGATCCTTGCTGAGTTTTATGTTGTAGTTGTATGTTACAGTCTTAAATTATATCTTTTCAGAACTATTCTTTATTTCTCAAGATAGAAATAACGGCCTATTATAATGTATCAAGTTTTTTTTTTTACTGTTTTTTTTTTTTTGTCCAACAATGTTACATCAAGTTCTTTTTTGTCCAAAGAGTAAAAGTGTAAATTTGTCATGTTTACCTGTTCTCCAATCATTATAGGAAATTTAAAGTCAATAACAATCTGTGTAATAAAATAAAATTTTCTCAGGTTCATGAAATGACGTAGAGCTTTAAGACGATGTTTCTCTCACTTCCTAATATAACATGATCCTGATATTGATAACCTGTAAATGCTACCATCTCAAAATATGCAAATAGGAGGATGTGTAGGCTGTACCTGTTGTTTCCAACTAAATCAGAATGGTTTCTGACAGTCCTGTACATGTATGGGCTGTTGAGATGACATGAGAACATAAATGAAGGAATTGTATCTCATAATGTATAAAATCCACAGTTTTATTCAGATTGTGAAAATCAGGGGTGAATGTATAAACTATTGTGCCTTTTTCTTCTCTAGAAATCTTGTGTATTAGATATTGTACCCAGTTATCAATAAATTCTGTTTCTAAATTACACTTTTGTTTTTTGGGGGGATGGGGACATAAGAGCATTGAAGCTTTTAAAGTTCTCATGAAAAGGTATTGTCCTTCCCGACAGTAGATGGATTTTTTAAAGTCCTTTTAGCATTCTCTTGAATGCCATCATCATACAGCTTCTACCTATAAGCTACCACTTGTTTTATTACATTTATATGCTGATCTACTTTTAAACCACCTACTCAAGTTGCAGCTATTCAGTATTTTTATCCCAGTTTCTAGTCTGTAATTTTAGCTGATTTATAGATTTTACCTCCCAAAAATTTAAACCAGGTGAAGCATAATAATTACTTAATTATATCAAGCCAAACCTTTAAAAGGACTCTTCATGGTTTCTTCTGACAAAGTGGAAATAATTGTTCAGGGTTTTTTTAAATTTTTAAATGTGATTTCCCCAGAACCTACAACCTTGACCATCTAACCAGAATAAAATTCAGCAGAGATGATGGCACTTTTTCCCCCCAAAATAACTTGTGTACAACTTGATCTATAAAGCTTTTTTAAATGTTTTTCTTAACATTTAATGCAAGGAAACTTTTCATCCTTGCATAAAATCCATAATATTGGAAAAGGCAATGTATAAGTGTAATATTGAATATTGGCCATCAAAAAACATCAAGTCCATTCTTGTTTATTTTGATCATTGTTGCTGACAGCTATAGTTCAGTTTCTTGCTAAATCTGAACATTACACACACACATCCTGTGAAAAAGGATTTTTAATTTAGAAGTAATTTAAGGTCCAAAGAATCCTAGGGAAGAAAACTGGCTTCACCATTGTCTGGCACACAGTCACAAATCCACAAATGTATCCAACCATATTTGAGATGGAAAGTTGAGTGGAAGGAAAACGGTGATATAAAATGTTTGCAAACAACAGGAATAACCACATCCTTCAGAGGAGAGTAAAGTATATCCACTTTAAGAAGTTTAAGGGAAATTCACATTCATTAAGGTTTATATACCTAGGCCATTTACAACAGAAAATACAATTCTGTTGTATTTTTATTTTTATATATTTTCTCATATATATTTAGCTTTGAGGTCAAACAACAAGCAATGTCTCAGGCAAAAGTTTTGGCTTTGCATGTTTCAGGTCTCAGATGATCTTTTAACATTCTCTTTTTATTTCCTACAATCCACAGACATCATCAGATCAAAAGTTGCTTTTGAGGAGAAAATCCATCTGAAAGGCCAGGTGAATTCCAATGTTTTTAATTAATTAATGAATGCATCATATCATAAATGTGTGTTGTTTTTTTTTGGACCATGTTCGAATAAAGTTTTCGCAAAACGTCGGCACAGTTATCTGACTCCCTTATGGACAAAAGTCTGACTGACCCTCAGGTCAGAAGAGTCGCACAATAGCAGCGGAATCTGTGCTAAAGAGCAGGAAAAGCTGTGAGTCTGCTGGCTGAGATAGCTGCCTTATTTTTTTTGTCATTGTTTTTGGAGGAATGGTCACATTGGCTTTCTGCAAGGAAACCAGTCATTTCTGCCACTGAGCGCGCACACACAAATAATGCTGTTTCTAAATGGGGAGATGGGCAGACTCGCCCACACGCCTCCTGTTAAGTGGCAGCTCGCAACAGTCTGCGGTAGGCTTGCATCCATCCAACCATGTGTCTCACTCGGAGACGAGATGAAGGGACATGTCAGGAGTGAGCCCCCGTCTTTTAAATAGATTCGGCAACAGATGAATAGATGAGACGAATCTCAGAGAGGCTCAAGACTCGGCACAGCGGGAGATCCAGGCGCCATACCAAAAGTGTTTAGAGCTAAAATCATTTTGTGAATGTCGGCGACCAACTTGCTTCTGCAATAAGGGAAAATTTGTGCCAAATCTGACAAAAAGATAAGACGTGCACTAAAGTCAAAATAAAAATAGGTGCTCATATCTATTCTGCAATAGAGTTTATGAACAAAGTTGCACAGCATTATATATATATATATATATATTGTTTTATTTTGTGTGTGTGTGGTCCCCCCTCAGGGGGCCAGATCCGCGGAGGGGCCGCAGGTTTTCTTCGACAGGACGGTTTATTTCTGTCTCTCGGAGGCAGGCAGTGATGTCACCAATGTTTCCTCATCCTCCTGGCATGGGTCAAATTTAGCTCCTGAGATTTTCCTCAGCCTTTCCTGTTGTGATGTGAGTTTGATGCCGGGAGGGGTGAGGGACGGGGGTCTGTCGCATCTCCCTCCCTTAAATACAATGCTGCTTCTCTAGATGACAGATGCTGCTTAACCTGCCATGACCCAGGGAGTCCTGATGGCTCAGCTGACTGACAGGCCTATAGAGGACACAGCGAGCCCGCTTCTCTCTGCCTGAGCTGCACATGACGCTGTAGCCCCACCAACAAGAGAAGGAACTGTCTCGTCGTTCAGCCCCCGCATCCCCACTGCCCCCTCCACCAACCTCCCACCCAGGGCAATAAATGTCTCGCTGAGGAAAAGCTTAACACCATGAATTAAGGCTAAAAAGAGGGCGCCCACTTCTGCTACCTTGTCCTATTGAGTAAAATATTGAGACAAATTGAGCTCTAAATCAAAGCAGAGAGGAGTGGGAATGTGACAGCGCTTGAAAACCTGTAGACCGTCCATTGTCATGAAGTCGCCTCGGCTACAACCACTCTGGGTTGCGTTTATCATGACCGGAGGCAACGGAGGACTGGACACCGTGCCATCGGTCTGTCATGGTGTCTCTAGATTTGAAAAGACGTTGTTGACGGAGCGAGCAGGAATCTCATTGTGGAGTTATCGGTTTTACAGGAAAGACAGCTTTATTATTTTTCTCCTGTTGAATAGAAACATAATGAATGCAGAATATATTTTTGATAAAAAGAGCCTTTATCCAGCAAGAACAGAAATATTAATTCTCTTTTTTTATAGATGGTCTCACAACTCAAAATGCAAAATGTTGAGTAAGGATCCTGTTATTGTGTGCATAGGACTTTAGTTATTTCATGTAGAAATCAGTGCTGGGTTACACAAATGTATTCCTGACCTGATTATGAATTCATTTATTCTCTGTTGTAGAACATCTTAAAATGTATTTTCATTGATATTTGTAGTTCAATATATGATTTGAATTTTTCAGAATTGTTAAAGTAGACATCAAATGTGCATATATCCAAATATGTAATAGGGTGTTTCAGTTATCCGTGTGTTATGTGAACGTTTTAGATCACAATATCTTATTTTGAGATAAAGATAACTTGAGAAGAGGTAAAAGCTACTTTCAAATGATCGTTTTAGTTATTTGGAGATAAAGTTCTCCAAACCGGTCCAGCCATAAGTGAATCATAAGGTGACTGAATGCCCTGCTTCATAACCAACATATGTTGCTTCTCTTTTCAGTCAAGAAATGATGATTTCTTGTGTGAAGAAATCATCATTTTTGAACAAAAGAAGTCAGCCATTTCTTTGTTTTTCTTGTGGCTTTTTAGCTTCGTATCACATTTAATAAACTTTGTGCTTTCTTTGTAAATAGCTAACACTAAACCTTTCTTTTTTTTTGAGGACACCAGAACTACAAGTAGTATCAGTACCACAGCTTGCAAACCATGGGATTAGTGGTATGAAGGTAGTCTGTCAGTAAGGTGATACATAGGGAGAGAGTGACTCAAACTAGAAAAACTCCATCGCCTTTAGCACATCCCAACAACTTGACATTCTTCTCCCATCCTCCTCCACTGTCTCTTTCTGGCTAGTTTACTCCACGTCTCTTACAAAACACAAGCACTGCCTGCCCC